TCAAGGTACTGGCCTATCTCTTAGTATTTTTCTTCCCAAAGTTTTGATCCCTTTTTTTATCGTTAGCGTTCATGTTCACTGCTGTCACATAGGTGTTTGGAGTAGGAGTGTAGCGCAAGCGGCCTTAGTAATTTTCACAGACTTTATTACTTATGTTTCATTAAGTACTCTTCGATGAACGCTCACCTGACCAATAACGAAACTCCTCCGTTCCGCTCTGTCTTTGGCCTTGGCAGAGGCCCTGACAGGGGGAAGTAGACAGATAGTATTGCCAGAAAAGACAGTGAGGACTGAAATAAACATTTCTGGCTTATTAGCTGTCGTCGGGCAGTCATATCCAGGCCCAAGTGGCGTCCCACACGAGCTTCGAACTTGCCACCTCTATTATCAGAGCCTAACGCCCTAACCATTGAGGCATGAGCTCGTTGTCTCGCCGGCTTAGGTCAGGGGATGCTGACGCTCATTGATGAATGTTAGGTCGTTTGACTCTGCTCAAAAGGGTCGCGAGTTCGAGCCTCGGGTGGAAAACCGGTTGAGTCTGAGTATGACTGGCTGACGACGGCTAATGATCCAGAAATGTTCATTCCAGTCTCCTTGGTCTTTCCCGGCAATACCGTCTGCCTAGTTTCATTAATTAATTTGAATTGATGTACCGGAATGTTTTTTGCGCACTTGCTATCCGACTTCGATTACAGGTGAACAAAACCTATATTTCATTGGGTTTCATTTTTCTGTGGCGATCGTTGTACTGCACGTTAACCAATACCCAAAGTCGATCGGCTTGTGCAGCACAAGGATGGGCGCCGTTTTGATTTCTAGATATTATCCGAAACAATAACATAGAATTAAAAAGAATACTTCCTCGTCTGAGACGTTTTGATGGTTCCACCCCTGCAGTTTGGGTTGACTTTTTTGATTTTCCCAGGACACGTAAAGTCCTTTTGTGTTCCGAACCTCCTTCACGACTACCTTCAGGAACTGACCTCAAACCCACCTTTCATTTAAGCCAAAACTACCATTTACTTATAGATGTGCTTCTATTGCGTGATTGGTTTTGCCTTCTTTTTCTTTGAATGATAAAGAATGTTCTTAGTAGATAGGCGTACACCGATCCGTTAGAAGGCGCACCCGCCCTGGGTTTTTTGATGTCCTTGCGTGTTCGTGCACTCACGAACGTTGCCACCTGGCCAACTGTAATGTGAGTGACATGTGTTAGTTGCCCTCTGGCAAAGTTCATGAATGCACAAACACACAAGGGCACCAAAAAACCAGGGCGGGTGTGCCCTGTAACTGATCGGTATGCGCCTATCTACAAATGTGTAGTCCAGATCGACACCTGGCGAGAAGTCGGGCCCGTTATCTCAATGGTTAGGGCGTTTGCCTTTGACTGGAGAGACGCGGGTTCGAAACTCGAGTGTGGCGGCAATTTCCGCTGCTACACTGGAGTAGAGTATCTCCAGCTGACGATGGCAAATAAGCCAGAAAAGACCTTCCTGGAGTCTCTGTCTTGACGGTAAAATGTCCTAACAAGAGTGTTCTGTTTGTACTTAGAGCGTGTAGCCGTACCGTTTAGCCCCCTCTGCTGTGGTAGTGGTACGCTAATCCATCTTTTTGCCGGCTATACTCGTGCCGTTAAGGCTTGAGGTTCCCTCGAGCCCCGCCAACAGCCGCACAGTGGCTAGTATCAAAAGTACAGCAACATTACAACCGAAAATAAGGAAGACTGAAATGGCTATTTCTGGCTCATTAGCCGTCATCAGCCAACCATTAGCAACCTCAGATGTTGCATCTTCCGAGGCCCGCTGCTTAGGCGTTTGATCTCTAATCAATACATCTTGGGTTCGAGCATCGGGTACCACAACACCTGGAGTTGGCTGACGACGGCTAATAAACCAGAAATGGCTGTTCCAATCGCCCTTGTCCTTTTCAGTTATGCTGTTTCCTTGGTTCGATTCTCATTTTCCTGTGTTAGTTCTTTCATATTTCTCATGTGGCCTGCGAGGACGCTGCTAGAAGAAAACCGATAAGTTTCTTCTCTTCCCTACCTCCTGACGTTTTGATGATTCATTCTTGCCACTAATCTCAACTTTTCCTTCTTTATCTCTTCACACTGTAGCAACCCCTGACTCGTGTCCAGTTAGCTAAACGCGAGCTCAAGAAGAACATCCGATCGCATTCGAAAATCCAGTTCGACGAAAGTGGTAATGTAAGTCCTCGAGGCTTAACCCTTCTTCCACGCCAGTTTTTTTTGGCTCTTGTTTTTGTCCTACTGCTACGCAGTGTGTAAGAGAACCTTTGAGATGTCCTCTTCCCCTTCAAAAAGCAAGAACTTTTTATTTTCTTCCTCATTACCGTCATATTTATTGGGAATTTGTATGTCCCAAACCACATAGAAGGCCCTCCATTTTGTAGACAACTTTCTTCTTGTCAAATAGCCAACTCGTCGGTCTATGCGGTATTGCATTCGGTACTTCAGTTCAGTTCGATTCAGTTTCACTATAGAAAAAATAGGCGAATGCCTTTGAACTCTCCACTGGTTACAAGGTAGCCTTTAAAAGCATCGGTAGAAAAGGAAAGTTTAAAATAGAGAATGCTTACATAATTGCAGGCGAAAAGCAAGCAGCCGCCGGTTGGCCAAAAAGGTAAACATGAAAGGCTACTCGCTAATTGGTAATAATATAAATACACTTATTAACTTGTAGGCTCGGATGTAGCCGGGACATCGGTAGCGTGATGTGTGCCCAATTTGTTCGTTGTTGAATTCCATTCAGTTTACTATTTGCCGGATATCGGCTTCGACCGTTTACTAGCCTCGGATTTCCAAAGTGCACCTATTATTAGTATGCATAAACCCAGATTCACATTCTTTGTTGAGATCGAGAGGATATGAGTCGCAGCGTCGGCTTTTAATCATCGTCACCTCTGTCTTCAAAATAGCGACAGTAATATTTCTACTTTCACTCAGATTCATCGCTGGTTATTAATATAGAAACAGAAGTAGTAGTAGTGGCACAGCCTCGTGAACACAAGTGAGAGGGTGGAAACCCAGGCAAGCTCTGATGTGCTCCGGTACCAAACATTTATTACGATGATTAGCTTAACTCCAGATTTCACACTCCTTGTTCAGAGCAGGGGGGTATGCGGCTAGGCATTTATTTTAAATCAGCGTCACTTTGACTAATATAAGTGTCAGAAATAGTACCAGTACTACTAAGACTCGGCAAAATTTCAAGTCAGTAGTAGTAGTAGTAGTAGTAGTAGTAGTAGTAGTAGTAGTAGTAGTAGAAATAGTAGTAACCTCATCAGTCTTGGCTTCCTCGAGCCTGTTTTGACACCTACTGATGGTAGGTGGTGCGGTAGTACCCGCGCAAAGTCTACTGTCACTTAAGACTAAGTTAGACTATTTCTCTGGCTTGCATTGGAGTAAGCTATCAACGCCAGGTCCCGTTTGGTCTTCTTGACCCCGGGCGAAGGTGAGGAGTGCGGTTGGCG